TGGTGAACCGAATAAAAGTTGTTTGATTAGAAGTCAAAGGTGCATCGATCAAATCAACATCGCCGATGCCGGCGGTGGATATTTGACGGTCGTCTTGATTTCTGTTCGATCGATCAAATCAACGGCGCCGACATTCGGCGGCGGATATTTGACGGTTTTGATTGACTTTGTGTTTTGTGTTTACTTGAAAATAGTGCGCATTGAACATGCGAGTTTCGCCAACGAAACAAAGAATGAACAAAAGGACGATTTGATGGTGATGGTAAAATCAACTTCGAGGCTGGATATGGTTCGAATCGGTTCAATGTGTGATCGTGAGCGGAAGGGGAACGAAGATAATAAACTAACTATATATTATTTGAAATGCATATTATTAATACTGATTAGGGATGAATATTTGCCAATGTGATTCAGTTTCGTATCGTAAGGATGAAATCGAGCCGGAAATAAAGAAAACATGCACATGAGTATCAAAATTGAATTAAAAGCATGATATCAAAACCGTATATCGATCGGAACCATATTGAGAATTAGTTAATCCGATAACTCGAATGAAAGAAAGAGCAATCGTTGTGTATAGTTTTAAAATTAAAACATGAGAGAAGGTCTAACGACACTTATATTAAAATCCATGTTGCCAGTTAGTAGAGATTCACAAACACTCCATTTATGATGGCAAATGAGTGATAGGATGTCCGGTCCCATCCAAAGCAAACACAAAATCGACAGCAAATAATCTCACCATGCAAAGCATCCAATCCATGCAACTTAATAAGCCCTTCTTCCATTTGCTAATTGTGTAGTACAACTTTGTGTTGTCTAGTCTTACTCCTTTTGCTCTAAAATATGGAATCATTCCCACCCACCGAAGGATTGAATGCTAAGGTCAGGAAAATAGAAAAGGTATAGAGACTAGACGAACATATTCGCCATGCAAGTCAATGCATAAAAATCTAGTGGCCGATTGAACCAAAGGAGGGATCGATCCTATGGACCGACCTTATTCGTACCTTTGTCCGTGACCGTTTAGAGTAAAGATTTAAAATATTAGTGTATTTGGTTCGGTTTGGTCCGTCCAAATATCAATTCAATCCATTTTTATTTATATTTATAAAATTCACAGGAAAAAAAAAAATCAGACCACATTATATTCTATTCGTTATGGTTTGTCCAAGACATCAGATTGATCTGGTACGGTTCAAACTGTTGCACACTCACAAGTAGGGGCGGCACGGGGGTGGTTTATTCGCGGTTTAACGTCGATCCACCCACAAATAACCGTAATGACAGTAGGTCGGTGATATTTGGGTGGATTTCGGATTGAAAATCTCCTATCCGCACTTACTCGAGTAGCTGTGGGATAAATTGCGAGTCACCAAAATGACTCGCACCATATTTTCACATGACAAAAAATTGTTTTTTATTAATACTATCATATAATCATTATATTTTTTAGCTGCACTACACACTGATCATCGACTACTAAAAGTGGAGAATAAAGAATATTTTGGACTGCTACTATCAGTTACTCTGTTGTGTAGTATACAATAGATACTAAGATGCAAATTATAAACTATTAATTATATCAATGTTGCAAAATACGTCAATTTTCTTTTCACAATTGATCGATGGAGTAATGAAAATTTTGATGAAATACACGGATGCACAATGTTTTCCGGCGAGGAAAAACTGGTGTTTGAATTAAATGATTTGCACCTTGACTTCTTGAACAACGATTAATAACACGGTTCACTCCTCTCCGAACAATGTTCGAACGAGGGTGTTTGATGTTTTTGATGGATTTTTGGGGACAAACTAAGTTAATTACATCTACTCCTATGGAGGTTCAGTGAGAGCTCCGAAAACTAAGGCTATGGCTGATTTGCAGAGAAAAAAGATAAAGTTTGGCATAGTGTGTCAAATGGTTGGTTGTGGAACCCTTTTCCCGTCTTCGTTTCTCCTATTTATAGCCACCGGGTGTAACTGCCGTAGTAACTGCTAGCTGGCAACCGAATTAGTGTTGGTCTTGTCGCCTTGTCTTGACTGGATGAGGTTGATGTCATAAACTAGTTGGTCCCAATAATCGAGTTGTTGGGAGAAGGTTATACTGGATCATATACTACTCTCTAACACGCCCCCTCAAACGAAAGCCAACCCATGGGCTTGAAGTTTGCACAGGCCCACCATGCCATGTGCTTGAAAGACAACAGTTAATATTTTCGAAAACATGACCTTTCGGTTCTAGGCTCTGATACCATGTCATAAACCAGTTGGTCCCAATAACTCGAGTTGTTGGGAGAAGGTTATACTGGATCATATACCACTCTCTAACAGTTGAAGCCCTCAACCTTGCCTCCATGATGAAGTCTCGACCACACCCTTGGCAGCCCTTAAGACTCCACACTTAGTTTTATTTCCCTTTCTTACTCCCGCTTTTGTTGTGTCTCTAACTTGATACCCCTGCCATCCCGCTTTTGTTGTGTTTCCATACTTAATTTTTAGATTCTCCTCAAGTTGGTCTTTGTCGGCTTGGCTCCCCAGGGCCACCAAGCCCATCTTGGGACTTAGTCTCCATATGGCCCCCTAAGGGGCTCTACACCAACTCTCCATCAAGTTGATACCCTGTCAGCTCGGTACCTTGGCTGACAAGTCTCCACCCTCAAGGTTACGTACTTGGTCTTGATAATCTAGGGATACCAAGCCAGCCTTTGTATCCTCTTGATTGGATACCAAGCATGGTTAGTTGGCTTGGCACCCTGTTGCCTTACTACCAAGCCTGTCTTGTTGGCTTGGTACCTTGGTACTAAGCTCTGCCTTGCCAGTTTGGTACCCCTTTGGCTCCTTAGCCAATTTCGTGTCTTTTGGTATCAAGCCTGCCTTATCGGCTTGATACCCCTTTGGCTCTATACTTAGCCAAATTCATGTTTTTCATGTCTTGGTACCAAGCCTGCCTTGCCGGCTTGGTACCATGTTGGTTCTATACTTAGCCAAATTCCATGTCTTGGTACCAAGCCCGCCTTGTCGGCTTGGTACCCTCTTGGCCCCATACTTAGCCAATTTTCATATGTCTTAACACCAGGTCTGCTTTGCTGGCTTGGTCACTTTGGCTCTATAATTAGCCAAATTCTGTGTCATAGTACCAATTCCTGCCTTGCCGGCTTGATACCCGTTATTGACCCCCTTACTTGGTACCCGGTCATTTGGCACCCTGTTGTGCCGCCTTGGTTCCAGACTTAGTTTTTGGATGGCCTCCTATTTGGTATCTGGCTTGGTACCCCGGGCCTTTTGGCACCCCGTTGTCTCGCCTCGTTTGCAGACTTAGTTTTTGGATGACCTCCTATTTGGTATCCGGCTTGGTACCCGGTCGTTTGGCACCCCGTTGTGTCGCCTTGTTTCCATACTTAGCTTATGGGAGCCAAATTTCATAACAAGGGTGGAGACACCGTCCGGCTATGGGGGCCACGGAGACGAGGGTCGACCATCGTATAGAGAAGAAAGGGTTTGGCCACTTAGGCCCAAAAACCCAACCCAACAAGGCCCAACTAGCTCTTTTAATTATTAATGTTGAGTTGGCCTTATAAATCCACTAATTTCTTGTACTTAATCGATGTGGTACAAGCTGATTTTTTTATGGGTAAACAAATGCCCCCCACAACTTAGTGTATAAGAATTATGCACTAAGTTGTTGAACTCAACTTGACCACCTAAAAATAACTCTTATCTCGTCACCACCTTCCTTAGCCAAATTTTGGCTTTGATTAAGAAGCCATGCACCCTTAGCCTTTCCCTTCCATGTCCTGGCTAGCTACTCAAGCCATATTTTATCAAAAGAGTATCATGCCATGCCTTAGAGTGTGGGAAGTTTGGCAGGCCGACCATCATTGTGGTTGGTTAACTTTGAACCCGCTGACATCTTATGTCCAAAAAGGAAAGAGATATAAGGGTTGAGATACTAGACATTGATCAATCGATCATGCAACACTCTATCTTCATTCAACAAGTAGAGCACTTTGGACGGGTGACCCGGATGATAAAGCGTCCAGGCCAAACATTCAATCAACTACTCATGTCATGTAAGTAGCATGGTACACCCATCAATCTAGATATTGTAAAGGGTTCCATAGACCTTGTTCCTCACCAGTCATGGCAAGACCCTCACCTCCAACGTTACAACTCTAACTCAACTTTCCTCTTCTACAACAATTTTTTTTTATAGCCATGTTTTGCTTGTGATCTTCTTTTTCTCTTTTTTCTTACTTGCTAATTTTTATTTATATATTTATTTTAATATAGAAGAGAGTGACAAACATCACTGATATCCATGCCCTTTGGCACCCACCAACGTGCCAAAGGTGTACACCCACTAACATGTCCATGGATTAAACCAAGCCAACCATCCATACACTACTTGCCTTCCCTCTTTTAGGGGGGACGACTCTTTTTCTGTTGGTTTTGAATTTTCCAACTTAACAACGGATGGTACCCGCTCAACATGTCTTGCCTTGGTGGGTTTGCAAGGTGTCCCCTGATCCTCTACCTTAGCTACCATACTTGACATGTTGTGTTGATTTTAAACCTGATGTGTTTTCCTCGTCCCTAGTGGTACATTAGGCATTCTCAACTCCTTGGCCTCATCAAAGGGGCCACGAGTTTTTATTTGCCTTGGTTTCTCCCAACCAAGCTTACTCTTCCCATATAGTCGAGAAAATGAGTGGTTGGACTCAATGAGTCGATGGCCATTCTTATGGCCAACCTGACCTTGTTCAACCCTCACACCTTGCTGACTTCTACACGTAGCACATAGCAATCTCTGATTCTTTGTAGGACCATGTCTAGTTATTGTATGTCGGGATGTCTTGTTCATGACCCCTTGTCTACCATTCGTGTTTGTCATTCCATGAGGGTTGTTAAGCATGGACTTGCTTCTTTGTTCATCCCTTAATACACTCTCATACTTAGAAATTTTTTGAGTGGCTTGGATGGGTTGCACGCTCTTGGAATTGGCCCTCACGCATTTCTTCACATTTGATGACATGCCCCCTTGTCCACTGCGTGGATCTGGAGACATGGCCCCCATGCCATTACTCATGGTTACTAACATGCCCCCTTGCCACACTTGGCTAAACCACCATTCTTGCTGGAAACACATGTGACTTGGGCTTGTTGTGGCTTGTTGGGCACAACTGTCAACCTACTGCTTGTGATTGATGACATGCCCCCCCATTCCATCCTTAGCTACACTATCATGCTTACTACAAGCATGTGTGGCTTGAGTTTGTTGTGGTTTCTTGGGCACGTCTATCTGTCTATTGTTTGTGGTTGGTGACATGCCCCCCGTGCCATCCTTGGACAACAAATATGGTGTTCTGTTGGACACACCCTTTTGTTCAATTTTCTTGACGTCAACTTGCCCCCCAGCTTGACACTTCACCTTCAACTTGTCAGGTGGTAGGCTTCCGTGTCCTCCTTCCTGTCCCCTAGGCAGTTTGCATCCACCATACCCATTAAGCAGGGGTGGCAATGAGGGTGGGCAAGTTTGTGGTGGTAGTTGATCCAAATTGACTGGATCTCCACTACCCTTCCCATTACGAGGTGTCATACATGATCTTGACACCAAGAAATTTTCTTGTGTAACTACCTGCACAAGCGGTTGCTCCACGTGGGTGAGATTCTTTCCATAACCACCACTTTGAAGAGGTCGTTCACCTTTCATCGAAGACGATGATTTCTCTGACGACTGGGTAGTCCGGCCACCAGAGTCTAGAACATTTGTATCCCTAGTAGCAATGCTTGATGGTGGATCTACACCATCTTTCGCCAAAACCTTTGATCTTAACTCTGGTTTCATCAAAAGTTGGTGAAACTTCTTACAAATACTTTCATTTATCTCGCATATCTCATCCAGTTGATCTAAACGTCGATTTAGACGAGTATGGAAACTATCAAGTTGAGATACAATTTGTTTTGTGTATCCCACCATAGCCTCCTCCATTAATTATATCTCTACCACCAGTGACTGATGGAGAGACAAGGTGGTGGCGGTTACACCCAAACATGGCGCCGGTGATGGCTGACCTCTTGCCTCACCATTGTTTCCGACGTCACTTTTTGCTAATTGGCCAAGATCAGACCTGGCAACTAGCTCTATTACAAAACCATGTGAAAGATCACCTTCTTGTTCTCTTTGTCGTGGAGCCATCAAATCAAACACAAATTGTCCCACCAGGTGTGCCAATTTGTTTTCTGACGAGGAAAAACTGGTGTTTGAATTAAATGATTTGCACCTTGACTTCTTGAACAACGATTAATAACACGGTTCACTCCTCTCCGAACAATGTTCGAACGAGGGTGTTTGATGTTTTTGATGGATTTTTGGGGACAAACTAAGTTAATTAGACCTACTCCTATGGAGGTTTAGTGAGAGCTCCGAAAACTAAGGCTATGGCTGATTTGCAGAGAAAAAGATAAAGTTTGACATAGTGTGTCAAATGGTTGGTTGTGGAACCCTTTTCTCGTCTTCGTTTCTCCTATTTATAGCCACCGGGTGTAACTGCCGTAGTAACTGCTAGCTGGCAACCGAATTGGTATTGGTCTTGTCGCCTTGTCTTGACTGGATGAGGTTGATGTCATAAACCAGTTGGTCCCAATAACTCGAGTTGTTGGGAGAAGGTTATACTGGATCATATACCACTCTCTAACACGCCCCCTCAAACGAAAGCCAACCCATGGGCTTGAAGTTTGCACAGGCCCACCATGCCATGTGCTTGAAAGAAAACGGTTAATATTGGGGGTCATGGAGATTCGAACACATAACCTTTCGGTTCTAGGCTCTGATACCATGTCATAAACCAGTTGGTCCCAATAACTCGAGTTGTTGGGAGAAGGTTATACTGGATCATATACCACTCTCTAACAGTTGAAGCCCTCAACCTTGCCTCCATGATGAAGTCTCGACCACACCCTTGGCAGCCCTTAAGACTCCACACTTAGTTTTATTTCCCTTTCTTGCTCCCGCTTTTGTTGTGTCTCTAGCTTGATACCCCTGCCATCAAGCCAGCCATGTCAGCTCGTATTACCAAGCTAGCCTTGCACGCTTGGTTTCCATACTTAATTTTTAGATTCTCCTCAAGTTGGTCTTCGTCGGCTTGGTTCCCTAGGGCCACTAAGCCCATCTTGGGACTTAGTCTTCATATGGCCCCCTAAGGGGCTCTACACCAACTCTCTATCAAGTTGATACCCTGTCAGCTTGGTACCTTGGCTGACAAGTCTCCACCCTCAAGGTTACGTACTTGGTCTTGATAATCTAGGGATACCAAGCCAGCCTTTGTATCCTCTTGATTGGCTACCAAGCATGGTTAGTTGGCTTGGCACCCTGTTGCCTTGCTACCAAGCATGTCTTGTTGGCTTGGTACCCTGTTGGTGTCTTGGTACCAAGCTCTGCATTGCCAGTTTGGTACCCCTTTGACTCCTTACTTAGCCAATTTCATGTCTTTTGGTATCAAGCCTGCCTTATCGGCTTGATACTCCTTTGGCTCTATACTTAACCAAATTCATGTTTTTCATGTCTTGGTACCAAGCCTGCCTTGCCGGCTTGGTACCATGTTGGCTCTATACTTAGCCAAATTCCATGTCTTGGTACCAAGCCTGCCTTGTCGGCTTGGTACCCTCTTGGCCCCATACTTAGCCAATTTTCATATGTCTTAACTGTAACACCCCGAATTTTGTGTTCAGGTTCGACCAAAATACCGGAACGGTTGGGTTAATAGTTATGTACGAAGGATTGCAACCATGAATTAGTAATAATATTTTATTATATTATTATTACTAATTAATATATATATTTAAACCTAAAACTAAACCTAGAGAAGCACCGCCCCAATAGTTGCCCACGCCTCTTCCCATTCTCGTTATCACTCCCTAGCAATACACTTGACCGCAGATGAAGAATTAGGGAAGCTCGAACAGAGAAAGATTCGTCTGTGCAAGCCTCAGTAGAAAGAGGAGAGAAGGAATAGCTGCGAGGCGGCCGCTCGGAAGATGGGGAAGAAGAAGAAGAGAGCGCCTTCCAAGGTTTGGTGCTATTACTGCGATCGCGAATTCGGCGACGAGAAGATACTAGTCCAGCATCAAAAGGGCCAAGCACTTCAAGTGCCACGTCTGCCACAAGAAGCTCTCCACCGCTGGCGGAATGACCATTCACGTCCTTCAGGCCCACAAGGAGTCCGTCACCAAAGTTCCCAATGCTAAACCTGGAAGAGAAGCAACAGATATTGAAATATATGGAATGCAAGAGGATGAAGCTCCATCAAAAGCTGCAAAGGTGGAGATTCCTTCTACACCATATGTAGTTCCAGGTTCATTGCCTCTTGGATATCGTCCACGACCTTTAGGCCCGGGGCCCCCAGTCTACAGTTCTGGTGCGCCATGGAGGGAGTCCTTCGAGTTCGACCGCTTGACTCTCCATGATAAGAGGCTATCAGAATTGTCGAATAACTCTGAAGATGGGGAAGGCACACCGTTGCCTAATTTTACTGAGGTTCTGTGCATCAACCGAATGAAAGACAAATTGAGCAAGTGGCGTTCTGGTTTATTACAAACCACTAAAAATGATACTTCCCGGTGCCATGACACCTCAACAGATTCGAAGCAATAGTTTCAGACTGTTTTCTTTAAGATGCGCCCAGCTGTCCTTCTGAGTGGTTTCACCTTTCATCAACGTAATTTGATCCGGATGGTGATGGCGAATGAGGAGTGGTGACTTATTCAAGTCAATCGGTATGATAATCAGATGATGGATTAAAGAGGTGATTAAGCTAAAGGAATCTACGAGTCATTTTTTCGAGGTGAGTGTAAAGGGGTAAATTCTACGTCTTACGTATTCTTTTAAATATTATGATTTTAAATATTTTAGCGAATTGGTTATCGTTGCTTGGTTATGTGTGTGATTGATTATTTGTGCTTTGCTTGAGTTATGGTTTGAGGTGATTTTTTTATAGCTATGCTTGATGTGAATGTGCATGAGTTCTTATTTAATTAAAGCTTTAAGTTTATAAGTTATTGTTAAAGTTAAGAAACAAGTTCTTTTTAAGAAGTAACTCACCTTCAAGAAGGTGAAGTCGTTTTAAGTGTTTTTAGTCACTAGCGCCAGTTTGTTGCTTTTTGAGACAGTTTGAGATAGAGCAGCAATTATGCTCTTGAGAGTTTTAAGATGGGCAGCAGTTATGCCCTTGAGAAGCGTAGTGAAGAGCCACCACGATAAGTTTAAGATGTTAGTGGGATGAATCGTTACGACTTTCCTAACTAAGTTTAAGGAAAGCCTAGATGGCTTCTCATACGTATGAGTTGGCAACCGGACTAGCTAGTGAGGGATCCACGTATCAGTCAAAAGATTTAAGTCAAGTTTTTTAGCTTTAGGAAGGGAGAGTAACTTTAACTCCCGGAAAATTTTTGAGTTATAATTGTTAAGAGTGGAAGTACAAAACGACTTCCACTAGTAGAAGTTAAGTGTTTAGAGAAGAATACTAAAGTACTATAGATTTTATCGTAAGGGCGTAGACTGACCCCAACTCACTCACCAGATCGTAGAGGAGGAAATCCTAACCAGCCAGTCCGTGATCAGCAAGCTAGAGGAGCTCAACACCATCGTCGCTGAGAGATGTCGAGTCAGGCGTCAGAGTAAGCATCGGAGAACTTTTTCAAGTTATTAAGACTTTATGGTTAAGAGTTAAAGATTGGAGATTTATTTTCTTTTGGACAATTGAGTTTCGCCCACGTGTTTAGGGCTTCAATTTGAGATGTTGAGATATTTGAGTTTGGTATTTTATTTAAACTTGAGTTATTTGAGTTTTTTTTTTACTATACCCCGGGTTAGAAATATCTTTTTCCAAATTCAAAGAGGTGGGATGTTTCATTAACACTAGGTCTGCTTTGCTGGCTTGGTACCCACTTTGGCTCTATAATTAGCCAAATTTTGTGTCATAGTACCAATTCCTGCCATGCTTCGTTTTTGGATGACCTCCTATTTGGTATTCGGCTTGGTACCCGGTCGTTTGGCACCCCGTTGTGTCGCCTTGTTTCCAGACTTAGTTTATGGGAGCCAAATTTCATAACAAGGGTCGAGACATCGTCCGACTATGGGGGCCACGGAGACGGGGGTTGACCATCGTATAGAGAAGAAAGTGTTTGGCCACTTAGGCCCAAAACCCAACCCAACAAGGCCCAACTAGCTCTTTTAATTATTAATGTTGAGTTGGCCTTATAAATCCATTAAATTTCTTGTACTTAATCGATGTGGTACAAACTGATTTTTTTTATGGGTAAACACACAATAAGCAAAGTGGGAAGTGCCTAAATCACTACAGTCAAACTAACTTGTATTTTGATCAAATTTTCTTTAGTCAACATGCTTAATAGCTAGTTCGGGAAGTATTTTGTGGGTTCAAATTGACTCACCTGCTTACTAACGAGTTGTTATAGCTGTAATCCACTATCCACTCACAAATTTTTTTTTCCGGGTAACTCGCAACCCATTCACCATCCACCTTATCCAATCCAAAAAAATGTGAGTGAATAACTGATTACCATTACACCAACTATTAGTGAGCGAATGAGTCAATGAACTAAAATCTATCCAACCGGCCTATTGCTCACCCTACTCACGAGATAATCGGATAGCTTTGCACCATCAGCTAGGGCTGGAGGTTCGGTTATCGGTTACCGGTTAACCGATAACCAAAAATTATATGCTTCGGTCGGTGGTCGGAGCTCCTAATAGGTATTTCGGTTAACCAAGTAACCGAAAACCGGTTATCCAGTTAACCGACAATAACCGAAAATAACCGGCCGACCACCCCCCTCACCAAAACGATGTGAAAATACCCGGTTATGAAGTTTATAATTTTATGTTGTTTAATTTGAGACATTAATTTGGCGATTTAGATGTAGAAATGTAAGTTAGAACCTTTCATTTTAGGCAATTCTAATAATTTTACCTGGTTAAAATCGAACCACCATAATTTTTTCGGTTATCTCGGTTAACCGACCAACTAACCGATAACTGACCGGTCGGTTATTGGTTAACCGAGGCATTGGCGTCGGTCGGTGTTCGGTAGGGGGAGATGGTATTCGGTTAACCGGTAACCGACCAATCGGTTATCGGTTATAACCGAACCGAACCGAACCGAACCGAATCCACCCTTACCATCAGCACACAACTACCAGACCTGTGGGCTGTGGCCCGTATTGGGCTCGACTGTACCTCTGACACTGGACAGGTAAGCCTTGGGCCTAAACAAATAGCAAGCTGCCGTCTAACTCATGCTAGGCCCTCTTACTCGAATCTTGCTTATAACCCAGCCCAATCGTAACGCTATCTTAAATGAAATACGAGAGTGCAGCAGAACGGAAGTGGAACATACCACACCCAATTAGAACCCATCTGTAATCTAAGCAGAGCTCATCATCTTCAACAGCAGGGAGCTGCAGCGGCATCCTATCTTCCTTCCGAAAGAAATTCAACAAACCCATCCCTTGAAAGCCAATCTACCTATTCCCATTCTCACCCAATATCAAAATCGAAACCCAACCCATCTTCGCTTCCTCTCCCGCTCTCATCGATTAAATATCAATCTCCTTTCTTCCTGCTTCGCCCTCCGCTGGTCTTCAATGGAGACTCTGACTTCTCTCTGCGCGAGCCAGGCTCTTGTTTCCCACACGGCCCGCCCAATGCCCATTTCTGCCGCCGGAAGCTCCATCTCCGCAAAGGGATACGCTTGCTCTATCAAGTCTCGAGCTTTTCCTCCGAGGAAGCAGAGGGCGAGTGTCGTCAAGGCCGCCGTCGCCGTTGAGCAGCAGACCGAGAAGCCCAAGGTTGCGCTCATCAGAATTGGCACCAGGGGAAGGTGCTTAAACTTCAATTCCATCTTCTATTGTTTTGTTAATAGTCTCTTCGCTTCTGATCTTGCCACTGCATAATGTGGGTTCCCTCCCTTGTTGTCGCTGCCACCCTGAGAATGGTGAAGTGGGTTTTGGAGGAAGGGGGTTTTATCAAGTGCTAAATTTTGATGGTTTAGCTTTTCCAGATTTCATTTCTGATTCTGATTTCTACTTGTGGGGAAAGTTTGGCATCCATGGACGTCAGTGTGATATTTGTATGTTGGGTGTAGAAATCAGTGTGCTTTATAGATGTGGGGTAGTTGGCTTTTGCTGCTTCTCAACTAGTAGAATTTCTGCTCAGTTTGATGTTATTGCTTTCAAGGAAAGCCCGCTGGCACTAGCTCAGGCTCATGAGACTAGGGAGAAACTCATGGCTGCACACTCTGAGCTAGCTGAGGAAGGGGCTATCGAGATTGTGATCATAAAGACGACAGGAGATAAGATCCTCAGTCAGCCCCTTGCTGACATTGGTGGGAAAGGGTTGTTCACCAAGGAAATTGATGAGGCGCTGATCAATGGTGACATTGACATTGCGGTGCACTCCATGAAAGATGTGCCTACCTATTTACCTGAACAGACAATCCTGCCTTGCAACATGGATCGAGAAGATGTTAGAGATGCATTCATCTCGTTGAATGCATCTTCACTGGCAGATCTCCCTGCTGGGAGCATAATTGGCACTGCTTCCCTCAGGAGAAAATCGCAGATACTGCACCGGTATCCTTCGCTCAAGGTAAGCATGTTTTGAAGAATGTGTTGGATTGTTGTTGCAAATTTGTGCGGGGAGTTTATTAGTGAGTTGCTTAAGACCTTTGTATTTTTATCTCATTAAGTAGGCACTAGTTGGCTTCGTGGCCCCATGTCTGGCTTTTAAGACACTTGAAAGACAGACCATGGCTGCCCACCTCTCCCGAGGGGAACTAGTTGTTCAGGGATGTTTCTTCCTAGATTCCAACTCTGAAAGCTGAAATAACTTCTTGACCTTGGTTTCATGCAGTTTGAACTTGTTTCAAGCTCTGCTGGATTTTATTCTTGAAATATCCTCACAGTATTGTTGGTTTATGTGTGCTATCTTTCATCTGACATACCATTGTGTAAATATCGCAGGTGGTCGAAAACTTCCGTGGCAATGTGCAGACGAGGTTACGAAAACTGAATGAGGGAGTGGTGCATGCAACTTTGTTAGCTTTAGCTGGCCTCAGACGTTTAAACATGACAGAGAATGTGACAGCCACTCTGTCAATCGACGACATGCTCCCGGCTGTTGCTCAAGGAGCCATCGGGATTGCTTGTAGAAGCAATGATGATAAAATGGTAAGTCAACAGACTTGATGGAAATGATCCTACCAGTTTGTTAATCGGGTTGCTTTCTGCCGCTATAGTCAATGCCTGTAACCATTTGATCGCAGGCCGAGTACCTAGCTTCACTAAACCATGAAGAGACAAGGCTAGCAGTCACATGCGAGAGAGCCTTCCTTTTAACTTTAGATGGTTCTTGCCGCACTCCTATTGCTGGATATGCCAGCAGAGATGAGAATGGCGATTGCTTATTCAAGGGACTGGTTGCTTCTCCAGATGGGACTCGCGGTGTGTGCATTTTTCATTCAATTCATATAGTCTATGCTCCGTATTATTCTTTTCTCTTAGATGATACCTACTGTGTTCTGAATTGTTTTGTATATTTTACAGTGCTAGAGACTTCCAGGAAAGGTCCATATGCCATTGATGATATGATACTGATGGGGAAGGATGCCGGGAAGGAACTGCTTTCGCGGGCAGGACCTGGATTCTTCAACTCATGAGTCGATGGACAGCAAGAAGTTGAGAGAACGATAGCGCGGCAGAAACACGAAGGCTAGTGTAGAGAAGTTGGAGATTTTTTTTTTTTTGGGCTAGGATGCAAGGCTCTTGAGTGCTGTTTGTTTCAATGTACCACGGAACATGAAATTGTTTGTTGTATTTGTAACTAGATATGTAATTTGTTTGTGGCGGTGTAAGATGGCATGGAAGCATGATTAGCGATACAATTCTCGAAATTCAGGATTTGTTCTGCAGAAACCCCGCTGGAGTTTTCTCAGATGTTCACCGAGTCCGACGCTCGTGGTTGTAAATCGCAGTTGATCATTGTAATATAGCACCAATGTGGTACCTGATATGCAGCTTAAGCATCACAATCGACACTAAAAACTCTCCGATCAGGCAACGTGCTAGTGTAAAAATGACCATTAACATGGAAGAACATTAATTACCTTCTCCGACACACAAACACCGTTGGATGCCATCGTCTCAAACACAGGCAGCAGTAGTGTCCCCTCCCCTGCATTGCATCTGATTAAACCTGTACGGTTAATTACGTATATACCCCCTAATCAAAATTCAAATTGGAACCAAACCAAAGAACCCTCAATCTCAATCCTCACTCTTCCGTCCTCTTTCATTGAACATCGGCTGGAGCAGACCGTCTTCTTGTCAAGCCCGCCGCCGCCACCTGAAGCAGAGCTCGCGTGGAGAGGACGACGACGCCTGAAGACAGAGCTCGATCCAGTCCTGCCCGTTGAACGATCCTTCCATACCTGCCGCCGCCCCGCCGCCAGTCACGCCGGCGAAGACGACCGGTAAAGGTAAGCGCCATTCCTTCCAGCCTAGTTGGGAAAACGCCGATGCGCTGCGTTGTTGCCGTCGGTCGAACGCAGTAGGCTGCGTTGCATCCGCCGTCCAAACGCGGACGCCGCTCGTTTGATCCGCTGGTCAACCGCGGTCAAGGCGCGGTTGGCCGCTGGTCAGACCGCGGTCAACGCTCGGTTGGCCTCTTTTTGCCATTTTTTTAATTAATTATAAATACTACTTTTGAATTATAATTAAATATAAAAATATATTTTAATAATCATAAATTGTAAATAATGTTCTAGATATATAAAAAAATATCATAAATTAAAAATAACTATTCGTGTTATGATTTTAATATTACAAAGTTTAAAGTAATTATTTTATATGAATATAATTACCATAAATTATTATTAATGATCTAGAATTATGAAATAAATTCTTCAAAATTAAAATAATTCATTTTTCTTATGTTTTTTCTCATACAAAATTTAAAATAATTTATTTTTATGCATTTGGTTATCAAAATTTGTAACTTGCAATCTTTTTCTTTTCAAGGTGTCTGGACATGGAAGAGGCAAATCAGAAATGACTAGGAAAAGAATGAGAGACCACACTTGTAGACTTAAAGCAACCGGTAGAAAAGAAAATGAAGAAAAAATTTCATGTAAGGTTATGGGGAAGAAGAAGAAGAAAAATGTAGAAATAGTGCATCCTGACGGTAATCCTACTCAGGGTCAGTTGTCTCTATGTCGAGGTATTACCTCTACTCCTGTCCTGGAGGATTCAGTAGCTTGGGAGCCTCGTTGGAGCGACTCGGTTACTGGGGATGATGATGATATTGATGATGATAATGAGGTTGGGAATGTCCCACCTGAAGGGGATGTAGTCGTCGTCAAGACCATAGGAGTTGAGACATCTTCTACTGCCTCGTCATGCTTTCGAGGGCCTAGTAGACGTTATATTGCCGCACCTAGTGGGGAGAATGGCAATGATAGGAGGAGGAGGAAGAAGAAGACATCAAGGCAAGACATGTCTTGGTTTCTTACATCAGATTCTGAGATTTGTTCTGGTGGACCAGTGATTCCCGATGTCATCCCTAGTTTTGGAGGTCACGTGGCCCTTGCACTATGGACTTCTCCTGAGAAGGATCGTGGGGTGTTGGAGTGTTTCCACCGACCTGGTAAGGTGGAGTCTTTGAGGCGATATCAGTGGAGTGTAGAGGGTTCTCGTGAGATAGTTCGAGACACCAGATTGTCCCACTTGGCGGGGTGCATGATACACCATTTAGATGTGGCTCTATTATCTGCTTTTGTGGAGAGGTGGCAGCCGGACACAAACACCTTCCACATGCCATTTGGAGAGATGACAATCCTTCTCCACGACGTGCATCACATTTTGCGTATTCCAGTTGAGGGGGTGATGATGAGAGATGAGGCATCGGCTGATATTCTAAAGGCTGACATGAGTGGTCTAGTTCGACTCTCAGTGGATGCTTCCGTTGGTGGTGAGTGGAAGTCCAAGTGGTTCGTTAATGGTGGTATGCATGGGGATGGAGTGCTTGTGAGAGCTCGAGAGCTGCAGATTGAGGAGGTTGAGGTGCAGTGTTACTTGTTTGTGTTGTTGGGATCCACGCTTTTCGTGGATAAGAGTCGTGATCGCATTCGTCCTGCGATCAACTTGTTTCTGAAGGATCATCGATCAGTGGCTGGTTATGCTTGGGGAGCTGCTGCACTCGCCTATCTCTATAGGCAGCTAGGGGTGGCCACACGAGTGGATAGTAAGAGTATTTGTGGCTGTTTAACCCTCCTTCAGGCTTGGATATATGAGTACTTTCCACTCTTTCGTCCTAGCCAGTTAGTGCAGTCTGCAGATGCTCCTCGTGCTTCCTCGTGGGTATGCCCTCGCTTGTCAGGTGGGGATGATGCTCGACAGCGCTTGTTAGGGTATCGACATATGTTGAATGAGATGTCACCGGATGATGTGACTTGGACTCCGTACGGGCGATTTCCTGGCAAGGAGGTACCGCGTTCGTTGTTCACTGGTGTCATTCGCTTTTCTGATATTGCTGAGGTTTACGATCCTGGACGTTGTCGGCGCCAGTTTGGATATAGACAGATTGTCCCCCGTCCAACGATGGTGCCAGGCGAGCACTATCGTCCGACTTCTGGCATCAGCTACAGTGTTTTCTGGAGCAAGTCCGTAGATCAATTATGGGATAACTTGCCGGGCCATTCTCTTCATTTGGACTTTGATTCCTTCCCGTGCGAGCTCCCATCTGAGGTGGACGAGGGATACATTGATTGGTACCAGACTCGATCGCACCCACTAATCAACCACCTCAGCTTTAAAGGGAAGTCTTTGTGTCGTCCAGTACTACTCGATAAGGTTAGTTATATTGTTATTTTGTAATGATAATATTAGATTAATATGTTGTACGATCAGTCTGTCATGTATGTTTCTATTTTCAGTTGTGTGAGCAGATTGTGGATCGGTTAGGCCCCGTATTGAAAGTGAGGGATCGAGCTCATTTCGTGGAGCATGCTGCTGAGTACTACCAGATATTAACCACCACTCACGAGTTGTATGACCAGTATATCGGAGCACAACCTCGGTAGATGTTTGTTATTATTGTGTTCATTTTTTTTTATTTTCACTGTTTGTTGGTAACTAGGATGATCATGTTGGTTGGTATCTTTGTGTTCTATTTTTAATTTTCACTTTATGGTTGTATCCAAACTGGGACGATTGTGTTGTTTGTTATCCTTGTGCTTTTCATTGTGAGCATTCATAATATAGTTGTTTTGTTTGTTATCATCTAAGACTGAAAGCTACAATAGTATTTGTCAATACAATTACTAAAATAGGGGTGGCTATACAGTCCGGTCCGGTTAAATTGGTTCGAATTGATTTGGTCTCAGTCTGGTCTTTTCGGGAATATAAGGACCAAAGAATAGATTTGATACAATTCAGTCTTGATCCCGCCCGGTCTTGACCCGGTCCGGTCCCAATTCGGTCTTGATATTAGATTGAACTTGTGGAGATTTTAGTGGCCTGAGGCGTGAAAGGGTGAGAAATCGTTTAAGTGTTGGGTGTTGGGCTCTCTTATCCGGTCTTTATCCGGTTTCGGTCCGAAATCGAATGGTTTTTTATCTCAAATCTAAGCCCGAAGATGGGATTGGATTGTTTGCTATCTAGTCTCAGTCCGATCTCAATCCGAGTTATACGGTCTGATTTCGAGTAAAACCAAAAAACCCGAACCAAATAGCCACTCCTAACTAAAAGTAATTCTAATTGCCAACTCTTTGGGTTCAAACTATCATAAAATTGATGATGATCTAAGAACCAATGGTCCCAACCATGGACGCCATATCAAGAAAATGGTGTCAAATAGTGACAAAGGAAGACATGGCCACTTGACCTGCTCGAAAGTAAGTCGCAACCAGTGACACTCTATAAAATGTTGTGATAAGATGCCACGTGGTCTTGTTACATCTGTTGGGGGTAGTCATAGGTAGCTATAAATAGATGAGACTCCCTTTGAGATAAACATATGAGCACGCAATAGAGTAAGCAAGAAACATGAGATACGAGGTCCAGCATGAAGAGAAGAGCCTTGTTTGGTAGTCAAGGATGACTTGTCTGCTCCTAGACATGCATGGATTTCAACTTCATGAGGAGTTTGAAATCTTGTTTAGGTCTCAAGGCAGTCATTTGGCTAACTTGACAAGCTCTTCTCCCTCATGCTAGACTCCCTCCTTTTCTCCTACATCTAGAAAAACCATCAGCTCATAGTTGCTTGATTTTTTTTTTTTTTTTGGGTTCAGAACTTAGATCTTACGTGAAGGTTTGGCCTTCTTATGTAGTCAAGGATGACTTGCCTAGTCGAGTAGTGTAACACCTTAGGCAAATCCCACATCGACAAAACACGGGAGAGATCCATGGTTCATAAGTAGGAAACCGACCTTAACTGACAAGACGCGTTTTGGGGTGAAATGGAGGAGTTCTTGTGAGAACTTCCCACATCGACAAAGCACGGGAGAGATCCATGGTTCATAAGTAGGAAACAAACCTTAACTGACAAGATGTGTTTTGGAGTGAAATGGAGGAGTTCTTGTGAGAACTTTGAAGTTAAAAGTGCTTAGTGTGGAGTACAACAAAGATGGGTGACCTTATGGGAAGTCACCTTGAATTCCACCCCAAGTCGAAAACCGTGAGGATCGAGACCCAAAGCGGACAATATCTTCGTCAGAAAAAAGTTCGGGATGTTACAAGTAGTTTATTTTCCTCCCTAAAATACGGGGTATGAGAGTCTCATGGCAGACCCTTTGTTCTTTTCTTGCTCAAAATAAGATCTACCTTGTTGACCATCGTTGACCAAATTTTCCTTTCTCAAGATGGTAAGATATATATATAGCTAGTATAACACTATAACTTGATCTCGTGTTCCTTTTTATAGTCTACTATTATGATAAAGAATTCTTTGGTTGCCACTGTTACACTGTACCAAATCACCCACTCAGGAATGTGCAGATACTGATCATGGAGCTGGGTAACCATCTCACAAAAAAAATTATTTCCCTTTCTTAGTCAAAGTCTCGAAGACCTAGCTTGTAGATTATTTCTTTTCGCATTCCTCGATATTATAGCACATGCATACCAGTTACATTATACTACTCCATATATACCACTCTGGTGTGGAAGTGTCCCAGAAGCACAAAAATTCGTAACGCAGAAAGCCAAATTCATACCAATCTTGTCAGTGCCGACAACTATTAACTAGATTCTCAAGGCCTAAGGCTTAGCGACTCCAACTGGGAAACAATCTAGTTCGATTAAACCGAACCGGATCGACCAAGTTAACCAAATGTTATTTTAGCCAAATATGTAACTGAATACTCAGTTGAAAACAGTTTTAACCGTGATCGAGTTGGATTGAATACGTTTCGACCAGTTTTAACTTGAAAATCATAAAGTCTCCATTACTGGAAAAAGACACCTCCAAGCCCCATCCATCCATCCATCCCCCCCCCCCCCCACCCCACCCAATCGCACAATTAGAGTTGTGTCGGGTCGGGCTTTGGAGAGCTTGGCTTCTAGACAGAACTAGGTTGTAGGGCTCATTGGTTTGGCCCGATTTTGAATTGGATTAGACACGATACTGTTTTTTTCATAATCCACAATCGTAATCCGGACCACACCGAGTTGCAATTGGTTTCCGATTGTAATTGGATCAAGTTATATGGTTCACTTTTTTATTTGATCGAAAAATCGTGACCGAATCCCTACTAGAGGCCAATGGCAATGGTAACGACTAATATGGTTTTTATGTTTTAAAATATCTCTTGCTAAGTCTCCTCCATTAGACTTGTCATGTTTATCTACGAGTCGTTTGGATTGGGATGGAATTTTAGCCAAATATTGTGTTTAAAAAACCATATGTTTTGGTATAACAAATTTCGTTAAATATCTTGTTTAGATGAATTTTCAAATGAGATTGTTGATTTGTATTTTTCATTAGGAGGTAAATTACCATGATACTCATATTTAACAATTTCATCATTATCTCTCCCCCATTTTCTTCACGAAAAACCTGCTTTTTCGTCGCTGTTATTCCAAGCTGTTCGTGCATCTTCTTCACAAAGGGGGCAAGAAAGAAAATTAATATGTTGTTTGTCCGAATCCAGAGTTCTGAGGAAATTGAACTGTTGTAAACACTAATCGAAATATTCATTCATATTTCATGGTTCAGACTCAAATCTGAAAAGAAAAAAAAAACTCTTCTTATTGCAACTCAATAAATAAAAGTTGATAGATACAGCATTGTGCATCCCAGTCGAAGTACAGGCCCAAGACAACAGGGGCAGCAAAGCCAGTAAATTTGAAAAAAAGTTCTATTTAAATGGTGACGAGTTCAATATTTGAGGGTAGTTTGGGTTTCAGCCCCTCAAGGCACGCATCTGCATCTTCATCATCCTTGCTCAAGGGCTGTGTTATCTCGTTTCCGTGGCACGGGTGCATACGGCGATCAAGAACTAATTTTTCAAGCATGACAAAGTTCCTGATCGCATAGTCCACAAAATGAGTGCCAAGCGAGAAAGCAGAAGCACCAGCAAAGCCAGTTACTTCCACCAATCTGACGCTCTCCCTTTTCATCTCCACCTCACCAGTCGGCGCAACAAGCTCCCTGCTGTCTCCGCATGTCAACAGCTACGCCCAAAACAAAAACAACAGGAAGGAGAGAGGAGATAGTTATTAGCATGGCAAGGCAAGGCAGGTCGAGGAAAAGAGATCAGCTGTCCTTTTTGCTCTTACCCTGATTGACAAATGATGCAAACAAGGACAAGAGTTTATTAGTGGAATGAGGCCCAGCGCACAAGCATCACACCGACCATCCACGAACACAGTCAGCTGCTTCAGAGATGCTAAATCCTCGACTGAATCGAGAAAGCATGCCCTTCGATCCTGCCACGTTAGTGATTGATCATTATCATTCAAGCTTCAACATTCAATCGATAATTGTTAAGACCGTATTATCATCCATCATCATCATATACTTACAGTGGAAATCATCAAAGTGAGGGCCTCTAACTGAGTGAACATGTTAGGAGGATGGAGAACCGAGTAGTCATTCAACCATATATGCCACTCCAATTCGAGGATACTCGAACACACATTTTCCATACGAAGATCAATCCTCGGACCTGCATATCTCAAGTACTTGAGTTTAGGCGCATGGATTTCCATCGCTTTCAGATGGCTACAGTGGTTAACATCCAAGTGCTTCAACCCAGTGCCAGCCGGTACCTTAAAATTTACTAAACTATAATAAGACCCCCAGACCACCAACTTGTCAAGCAGAGGACAGTTGCAAAGGAAATGCTCAAGGGTGTCACTCCCTAAATCAACATGTTTCAGTATCAAGGATTTGAGGAACCGGATATTCGACAATCCCTCGGCTGTTCTGATGTAATTCAGAGAGGGCTCTGAGAGAACACAGGATCTTTTTCCAGGAGGTGAATCCCCGAAATCCAGTTCTAGCCTCTCGACTCTTTTCGAGATTGGAAACACCATCAACCTGTCAATATCGGCATCAGGATTTGATACATAATTTAACTCCAACGATAATCGGAAGTGATTCACTTTTGGACTTCGATGCTGTTCCAAGACCTGATTAACCCCTGAAACGTGCTTCTGGAGACGAACCTCATCCCCTGTGAGGAGCCGTACTTCCAAGCGACCGTTTATCGCCACAGCACGAAGCCTCACAGCTAAAGCATGGAAGTCCAAGTCCGGAACAAACTTCCATACATCAATCCACCTCTGAGAGAGGACTGAGGTCCTGACTGCTTCTATGAGGGTCAGGAGAGAAAGAATCTCAACAAGGATCCCATCAGGCAACGCGCTAATGCGGTCGATCTGCAGGGAAAAGCAGCATCTTTCAACTCATTGATTGCAAAATAATGAGACAACAATCCTCCTAGAGATGAAGAATGTAAAAATGACCATTCAACATGGAAGAACATTAGTTACCTTCTCCGAGCCAGAAACATTGTTGGATGCCATCGTCTCGACACAACAGCAGTGCTTTCCCCTGCCTATGATTAAACACCTGTACAGTGAGCAATTAATCCTGATGGAGATCAAATCGAAAACATGCAAATACCACAGAGAGCTGGGACTACAGTTCTTCTAGAAAGAGATGAGCCCTCTCCAGAACTATTGAACAGTAAAGACAAGTTCTTTTTTTGTGATCCAAATCGAACGCCCCTTAGTGAAACATATGATGTCAGAGATTAGTTGAATTCAAAAGCGTCAACTTTTCTCCATGGGTGTCTGCAGCTTCAGCTCTCCACCATTCGAGCGACTTGAGAACCGACAGGGAGAAAAGTCACGGGCAGATCTGAGATCTCACATGAAAGATATACACTATTGCGTCGTAGGGCTTACCATACCGGGGAAAGCCTTGGCCTTTCTCCGTGTTCCTTCCCCGAAACGGAGACAGCCACCGCCGCAGCCTCTTAAATCCGTCGTCTTCCCGCTCTTGGACTGAAAACGATAGCATGTCTGTGCTAGTTCTTGTTAGGAACAGAACAACAAAAGGAACGAGGTTATCGGATCTCGAGCTGAGTCGCGGACTAGGTCGCTCTCTTTAAGACGTTCGCGGCACTGCCTTCGATGCGCACGGCAGACTATCAACCGGTCGTCTCCAGGATAAAACAGCTCCTCTCAATACTCGCGGTTTTGTGCGAAAACCGAAGCTCTCTAAACACTCTCTCTATTGTATTTCTGCTCGTTGTGATGTGTTTAGAGGGGCTGGGGAGGCGGCTATTTATAGGAGCCGAACCCCTAGGAATATACCCTCTTGCTTGGGGAATAAGTCGGATTAATTAAGGAAGATAATTACTTCCTTAATTAAAACCGTCGGTTAAGATAAACCCGGAGGGATTATCCTTCGAATATTCATTTTCAGTCGATTATCCCTTAGAATATTCCTCAGAATAACCGATTAATAATTAATTATTAGATAATTAATTTCGTTCAGAATTTCTGTAAAAAATATATATGTAGTCTCAAGTGAACCAACCAACCGACCGACCGACCACGCGCCCGCGTGTGGTGGTCCGTTAGGTCCTTCCTCTCCCACAAAAGTGGGTCACCCCAAGGGGCATGCCCTTGGGAGAGAGGCTCCTATCTTTATACTCATTTCACCAAGTAAAACTACCAATGTGGTAGTTTTTCCACTTGAGACTCTATAGTTTTCAAAGCTATTCATATACATTTCCAACAATCCCCCACTTGAATAGTTTTGAAACTATCTCTGAGCATCAACAGTTCCATAAGATCGGGCACAAGCTAAGGTATCACGAAGATTTGAACCTTAGCGTAGTGGTTACACTTCCGATTTCATAAGGGTGACTCGTAGTCTTGAACCCTATCTCAGACAGTGCAGCACACCGGATCTTTTCATTGAGTTGTGTTCTCATCATAGCCCGTGCGTTTATGGCCATGCACGTTATCCTGGTTTAGTGAACGCTCTAGCAACTTTGTGCCTCCAAAGTTCCATAGGGAGCGGCCCCACTCCCACATTCACATAGGTGAGTCTATCAAGAGTACCCCCAAAGTAAAGTACTCCACCCCACATAGGGTATAGATCTCATTAAGAGTTATTAACTCAACCTCCAATGCTTTGGGATTCATGCTTCACTATGCATGAACTTTTCGCATACTACTCATGACTTGTTATTACCCATTGAACCCATTTCTTGGGATCTCCAGTCTATTGGGTCGAGTTACCATCACTTGTAGTCCGTGGTTCGGTAGGCATAAGTCTCATACCCTTGGCGGTATTCTGGACTTTCTCTCTAGGTAATCCTTTCGTCAAAGGATCAGCTAGATTTTGTTCGGATCTTATATGATCCACCCTCACTGCTCCTATCGTTAGGAGTTCTCTTACAGTACTGTGCTTACGACGAATCTGTCGTTTCTTTCCGTTATAAAACCGGTTCTCAACTTTAGCGATAGCTGCGGTACTATCACAATGGATCAATACCGGAGGGACCGGCCTTTCCCATAGGGGAATCTCTGACAACAATCCTCTCAACTATCTTGCTTCTTCACTAGCCGTTGCTAATGCTATCATCTCTGATTCCATAGTTGATTGAGCTAGGATTGTTTGTTTCTTTGACTTCCAAGACACAGCTCCACCAGCGATGTTGAAAACATACCCGCTGGTTGCCTTGGAGTCATCTGATAGGGTATTCCAATCCGCATCACTATACCCTTCTAGTACAGCAGGAAACCTTTGATAGTGTATACCAAGGTTTGCTGTTCTCTTGAGGTATCTCATGACCCTCTCTATAGCATTCCAATGCTCTCTACTAGGACAGCTGTTAAACCTGCCAAGCAATCCCACGACATATGCAATGTTTGGTCGAGTGTAATCCGCAGCATAACGGAGACTGCCAATGATGCTAGCATATTCTCATTGTCTTACACTGTCTCCAGTGTTCTTAAATAGCTTTACACTAGCATCATACGGAGTACACGCAGGTTTACAGTCGAAATAGTTATATTTCTTCAAGATCTTCTCTATGTAGCTAGATTGATCTAGAGAATAACCATTTGCTGTTCTAGTTATCTGGATTCCAAGCATAAACTTTGCTTCTCCCAGATCTTTCACTTCAAAGCTCTCTTTCAACATGGCTTTTGCTTCATTGACCACGTGAATATTTGTACCAAATATCAACATGTCATCTACATACAAACATATGATAGTACAAGTGTTATTCTCTGACTTGCAGTAAATACACTTGTCACTTTCATTCACCTTAATGCCATGTGAGAGAACGAGAGTGTCAAACTTCTCATGCCACTGTTTTGGAGTCAATTTCAAACCATATAATGATTTGTCTAACTTACAGACTTTCGAGGCATGTTCGGGGATAACAAACCCTTCTGGTTGTTCCATATAGATTTCTTCATCCAGATCACCGTTCAAAAAAGCGGTCTTAACATCCATTTGGTGTACCACGAGATTGTTCAAGGCAGCAAGAGCAATCATTACACGAATGGATGTTATTCTAGATACTGGTGAATAGGTATCGAAGAAATCTATATTCTCTCTCTGCCTGTAGCCCTTAACTACTAGGCGAGCTCGGAACCTTTCGATTGCACCATCAGGTTTCCGTTTCGTTTTTAGAATCCATTTATTACCTAAGACTTTGCAGCCAGGAGGTAAGTCTGTTAGATGCCAAGTCTTATTAGCTTCTAACGATTCCATTTCATCTATAACGGCCTCATTCCAAAAATCTGCATCTACGGAAGTTAATACTTCCTGCAAACTTTTTGGATCTTCGAGGGTGAATACTGTAGTAAAGTCATCACCAAAATCTTTAGAGATTCTAGCTCTTTTACTTCTTCTGAGTTCATCCTCAGAACCAACACCCCCACTAGTTCCGTTATCTCTAATAGCGGGTAGTACATTACCCCTACTATTTCTCGTTTTAAATGGAAATCGTGTCTCAAAGAAATCAGCATCAATGGATTCTATTATAGTACGAGTATTCAAATCATAGAATCTATATGCCTTACTATTGGCCGCATAGCCAACGAAGACACATTCATATGCTCGACTAGCCAATTTAATCCTCTTAGGATCCGGAATTCTTACGTAGGCCAAACAGCCCCACGTTCTTAAATAGGACAGATTAGGTGGCTTATTCTTCAAGATCTCATAGGGTGATTCTTTTCTATTTGTTTTTGGAAGACGGTTTAGCACATAGAAAACTGTCAACAAAATATCACCCCACCAAGAAGAAGCAGCTCCAGAATTGAGCATAATAGCCACAACTAATTCTGTAAACGTCCTATTTTTCCGCTCAGCTTTACCATTCATTTCTGGTGAATATGGTGTCGTGGTTTCATGAATGATACCATGTGAGCTATAGAATTCCTTGAAGGGATTAGAGTCATACTCTGATCCTCTATCACTCCTAAGTCTTTTTATCTTTTGATTGCACTGATTTTCAAATTCGACCACAAATACCTTGAACATATCAAGGGCTTCACTTTTGTTTTTCATCAAATAAACAAAGCAATAATCAGAGCAATCATCGATGAAAGTGATAAAGTATCTCTTGCCAGACCTAGTTAACGTCCCATCTAGTTCACAAATATCAGAATGAATAAGATCTAAGGGTTCTGATTCTCTACTCACAGATTTATGGGGCGTTTTCGTTATTTTAGCTTGGCTACAGAAATCACATTTATCAAATTCATTCATTGAGAGTTTAGGGATATGTCCTAGCTTGCTTAAATTCTTCACAATTCGTGTGTTCACATGACAAAGACGAGCATGCCAAACATTCAAATCACACACCATGTAAACTGAAGAATTCATCTTATTAATTTCGACATTCAACTTGAACATCCCATTACATGCATATCCCTTTCCCACAAAACTCCCATTCTTAGTAAGAGTATACAAGTATGCCCCAATAGTTTGATTAAACCCAGCCTTATTAAGAAGATATCCCGAAACAAGATTCTTCCTTATCTCTGGAGTGTGCAACACATCCTTGAGCACCATCTTCTTCCCAGAGGTGAAGTTCAGCTCCACTTCACCAGAACCAGCAACCATAGTGGTGTGAGTAGTCCCCAACAACACTTTCTTGTCAGCAGGTGCTTCTGTGTATGTTTTAAACATAGCACGATTGTTGCATACATGCTTTGATGCACCTGTATCCAGCCACCATCCTTCTGAGTCACCGGTGAGGTTAACTTCAGCGATCATATCTGTGATCATGGCTATCAAATCCTCTTCTGTCAAGTTAACCCTGGCCGCAGCGGCAGGGTTTTGCTTGTTCCGGCACTTTTTTGCCATATGACCCGGTTTTCCACAGTTATAGCAGATAAACGGTGGGTCATTCTTAGAGGTTTGGGCCATGACCCTTTGGTTACCTCGAGAGGCACCATTCTGGTGGGGGCGGACCTGCTGGTTCTTACTCTTAAACCCTTTCTGGTTAGGTTTAAGAGCTCTAGGGGTGGGTCGTTTAGCAGTGACGACCATCACCTCTTCTTTCATATCCTGCTTGCGGGACTCTTCCTCAATCCTTAGGCGAGTAATCAAGCTTTCCAGTTGTGCCTAAGCATATTCTTAAAATCTTTCCACGAAGGGGGCAGCTTATCAATAATGCAAGCAACTTGAAATTGATCGTCCAGAGGCATACCTTCAGAGACGATCTCATGAGCTATTTTCTGAAGTTCGTGGGACTGAACTTCGACGGACTTGTCATCCACCATCTGATAGCGCAGGTAGCGGCTGACAGCATACTTCTTAGCTCCAGCCTCCTCCGTGTCGTACTTCTTTTGGAGCGCATCTCAGATCATCATCGCATTGTTCTTACTGTCCGCATAGTAGTCGTAGAGATCGTCTGCCAGGCCGTTGAGGATGTAGTTCTTGCACAGGAAGTCATGCTCCCTTTCCCTGGCAGAAGCAGCCCTCTCCTCATCGGTCGCTTCTTCCGGCAGCTCGACGGGCATGCTGGTGAGGCAGTGGGCCATATTTTTGGTCGTTAGGTAGAACTCCATCTTTTGCCTCCAGCGACGAAAGTTGACCCCAACGAAGCGAAAGGGTCGATTGATATCTACAACACCAGATCCGGCCATGTTGTTCTGTTCAGTCGACATAGCAGCAGCCGAACGTCTTAAAATTGTTAGGAACGGAACAACAAAAGGAACGAGGTTACCGGATCTGGAGCTGAGTCGCGGACTAGGTCGCTCTCTTTAAGACGTTCGCGGCACTGCCTTCGATGCGCACGACAGACTATCAACCGGTCGTCTCCAGGATAAAACATCTCCTCTCAATACTCGCGGTTTTGTGCGAAAACCGAAGCTCTCTAAACACTCTCTCTATTGTGTTTCTGCTCGTTGTGATGTGATTAGAGGGGCTGGGGAGGAGGCTATTTATAGGAGCCGAACCCCTAGGAATATACCCTCTTGCTTGGGGAATAAGTCGGATTAATTAAGGAAGATAATTACTTCCTTAATTAAAACCGTCGGTTAAGATAAACCCGGAGGGATTATCCTTCGAATATTCCTTTTCAGTCGATTATCCCTTAGAATATTCCCCAGAATAACCGATTAATAATTAATTATTAGATAATTAATTTCGTTCGGAATTTCTGTAAACCGACCGATCGACCGACCGACAGGCCGGTCGGACGGACGGACGGCGCGCGCGCGCGTGTGTGGTGGTCCGTTAGGTCCTCCCTCTCCCACAAAAGTTGGTCACCCCAAGGGGCATGCCCTTGGGAGAGAGGCTCCTATCTTTATACCTATTTCACCAAGTAAAACTACCAATGTGGTAGTTTTTCCACTTGAGACTCTATAGCTTTCAAAGTTATTCATATACATTTCCAACAGTTCTTTAACTTACTCTGGCCATGGAAGCATGATTATCGATACAATTTCTGAAATTCAGGATCTGTTCTACAGAAACCCAGCTGGAGTCTTACTCAGACGCTCACAGACGTGAATCGTTGCGGTAAATCGTAGTTGATCATTGTGATATAACGTCACAATCGTCTGATAAATTGAGCTATCATTAACACCAATCTATCTATTCATTCTACATGTTTGTCACGTCGACCGGCGTTCACCGGTTGTACCGGGTTCAACCGGTACTGGTCATAAAACCGGCGTGATACCACCGGTATGACCGGCATGATCGATATACGAATCTTCAAGTAAAATTACTATTTTTTAGAGAATTTAATTGATAAAAATTATTTTATTATTTATTTTATGAGTATAAAAGTTAAATATTGATGTTATTTGTTGGATTCAAATATAAATGTTTAGGTATTGACGTTAAATGTCATGTTTAAATATGAGTATTTATAATTTTATTTGTAATATTGACCGGCATGAACCGGCACAAACCGGTATGTGCCACTGGTTGAACCATTCCACTTGCCAAACTGGCACACTGGTATAAACCGGTTTGACAACCTTGCATTCAACCAAGTTATTCTTGAAAATTCGTTAGTATATACTACCTAATATTCAAAATGTATGAACTAATATTCAAGTCTGCTAAGTATTTAGATAACATAAATTAATATTCAAAACATGACAAACTAGTATCCAGATAGCAGATACCAACTAATATCTACAATCAATCAACTAACAATGTGGATACTCTTATGGGTTATCTGGATACTAATTATGTGTTGTTTGGATACTATTTTGTGTTGTCTAGATATTGGTTGATTCACGGTGGATATCAGTTAGCAAACTTTGAATACTAGTCTGTGCTCTCTAGATACTTTAGTACTTGGATATTAGTTCATGTATTTTGGATATCAGTTAGTATCTGCTAACGAATCTTCAAGCTAGGAGATTAACTATCCCTCTATTCATTCAAGGTTAGGGGGGGGGGGGGGGGAGAAGAAGAAAGCGGAAGTAGTGCGTCCGGATGGTCGTCCTACTCGGACATCAGTTATCTCTTAGTCGAGGACCCTCAAACGAGCCGAGTCGAATTTTTGCTTAACTTGAGCTCGGCTCGTTTATAAATTTTTCAGTTCGAGTTCGTTTCTCGAACTCGAATTTTGATAATACATCTCGAGCTCGAGCTCGACTTGACAAAAAATAATCTAGGTTGAGCTTGACTCGGTAGAGCTCGATAAATGCTCATTACACAACTTGTCATGTTGAGTACAAGCTCAGTTCAAGATAAGCTCGATTTGAAATCATTATTGCTGAAAAATGTGTAAACATAAGAATTTAAATGATAGAAGAGCACTAGAAATTAAAAATAACAGCTAATTTCCATACACAATCGTATTAACAAAATAATATTCATGTTCAAAAGAGTAATTCATCCTTCCACAAGCTCTAAACAAGCCAACTCACGAGCTTAGCTCAACAAACCATCGAGTCAAACTAGCTCACCAGCTTATAAAGCCGAGCATGGTCTAGCTCAAGCTTGGCTCGTTCACTAACGAGTTGGCTCGCGAGCCGGCTTGTTAAATAACGAGTCGAGTGTCAAACGAGTTTTTCTATTCGAACACCGAGTTGCTCGCGAGCAGCTTGACTCATTTGCAGCCCTAGTCGAGGTACCACCTCTACTCATGTCCCGGAGGATTCATTGGCTTGAGATAGGGGTGGGCATCCGGTTCAGTTTCCCTCTTCCGAACCGAACCAAATCTGAACCGACCGACACCGAATTATATCATATTCGGATTGGAATTCAAAAAAGAAAAAGGCTTACTTCGGAACACTGGATTGTATCGACCGAACCGAATTTCCGAATTCCGAATCGAAAAACCGTAAAATATACACAGCCCACATATCAACCTCAGCCCACTACCTCGACCCAAATCTCTCCATCAGAACCCTCACAACCTACCCCAATATCAGGTCTCCACCCAAAACTCCCCCATTCCTTGCCCTCTCACAACCTACCCTAATGGCTAATAATGTCTTTTTGATAGACGGACCCCGTATTGGCTCCAAAAACCTTACGGTTCTCGCCCATGCCTCCTCCTCAGCATTCGAGTCGTCTGAAAAGTACTCTTGCCCCTCCCGCGAGTCGCGTATCGTCTCCCATGTCCTGTTAGGTGGCCGCCCCACCTCCCGAGACGCCCCAAAGGTAAGCTGAGAAGCACCACTCGCCGAACCCTTGTTGTCCACGGCGACCATCTGCTGATCGGGTTGGTTATGGACCGAAAGAGACGTGGCCCGTACGCTCACTCCGTCCTAGGTCGGCCATTAGCAGTATCGCCGCCTGCCCTGGCGCTTGCGGCTCATGTCCTGAGCCGTCGTCCGCGACCATCCCGGTGGCAGTTTCGCCCATGGGACCCTCGATGCCGATCCCCGTAGGCTGACCCGGCGTGACTCTCACGGTTGAGCCGTCAATGGCTCCGACTGCGCTGCATGGCCGTCCCCCGTCTTGGCATGCAACAGCTGCTCCAACATCTCACGAATGAGACGGACCTCCTGGTTCAGCGTGTGCTGGCCGGTACTCAAGTGCGTGACTGTCACATCCAACTCTCCTAACGTCACCTCCATCTTATCGACCTTGGTGCGTAGTGCCTCCGTATCGGTGAGGTCGTCCAGGGTGTTGTCGACCTGCGACCCCAAGTTCTTCCCTTGGGTCGATTTTTCTTGGGCAACCTTCTCCGCCTTCTCTACAGCCGCCATGGATTTCGTCAGCACCATTGTGCGTCCATTTCGCCCAGGCAAGATTCGTGACAGACTCGGCGAGGCTCTGATACCAATATGATAGAACCAAGGACTCGGTTCTACCTAGGGATAGGAAGTTAGGAGATCAGCTAGGGATTAATCTCCCAATTAGAACTAGGGATTTGTGGGTTTTGGGAAAAGAATTAGAGAAGAGAGGGGAAGAAGAGTGTTGCGGCAGCAGCTAGGGAAAAAGGAGGGAGGTCTCGGCTGGAAGAGAGAGAGAGAGAGATTTGTAATTAGATTTATAATTCTTCTTAGTGGCATAAAACCCACTAGCTAGCTATTTATATAATCCGCTAATTATCGAATACTACCCCAAACATAATAACCCGCCCATAATCCCAAAATAATTTTTAATAACTTATAAAAACTAATAAACCGACAAACAACCAAAAAATGCAAAGTTTACGTTTCCATCACTTTTTAGTTTTCCCCACTCTGTCTGCCACACCACGACACCACGACTATCCGAAATTCATTTTTCCAACTTTAATTTAAGCAAACTCCTTTTCTCCCTCTCTCTAAATTCCCAGTTCCCAGAACCTTCATTCAGAATCCCTTCTCCTTCTGCAAGGTGATTTCGGCAACAGCAACTGACCCAGCAGCAGTGGTTCACGGGAATTTGGCGGTGAAGAAGCTGAAAAATATATCCAAATGACTCGCTAAAACACAACTTCTAACAAAGGCCAAGTATAACCAATGAAAGGAATTGTAGTAAAGTGACTCAAGTAATAAATATCGAATTCACGGGTCTCTAGAGTTACAATTGCTCAATTTCCATTCATTATCTAGAAAACCAGATTAAGATAGAAGAACTAAAACTACTCTGGCAAACTACAGTTAAAGTTAATCTAATTACAGGTTGGGAACTCACTTAGGCATAATTTCCTCTAGCCACTAGTCAGACTAATGATTGATGATCTCTAACCTGTTTCACTTTCATTCACAATGCGGAGAATCCTTGACTAGACCTTGAGTCTTGACTTAAGGAACAAGGCCCTCTTGAGTAAATTGCCTAGAGGGACGTATCCTTCTCTAGAACAACCGATCAAGGCGTTCTGAACTAGATTCCCTCTATCGAATGAGGTTCTCAATCGATACAAAGCAGTGAATCGACCCTCGACTAAAGCAACTGATCCAATACTATCAATCTATGATGCTCTATTGACCTAATCAGGTATTCACTCTCATATGATCAAAGTAGAATCAATAATCTCGACTAAAGGAGAATTGAATCATGAATACATGCATAGATTGAATATGAAGTCAAGATTATCAAGTAAGAGTACTCAGACAATCATCCAATCAAACAAACATGGCTAGGGTTCCTCAAAACCTAAGTGAGGGGAAGTTGCTCCATAGAGAAGAGAGAGAATGCAATAAGAATCTTCAGATGATCAGTCTTCAAGTCCGGGCTTGTTCCTTGAGCTTCCAAGGCGAAGAAATCCTCCGTTTCCACTCCAAGATTGCCCTCAAATCGCCCTCTCTCTCTCTTTGGTTCGTCCCTTGGTTGTTTGGTATCCAAAATCCAGCTCTCCTCCAAAAAAAATGCACAAAAAGGCTTTTAACAGCCCGGTTTCGTGAAACCCGGTCCAAATACCCGATCGGGTATTTAGAGAACCGGTCGGGTATCAACAAAATGCTCCGGGTCACTTTTCTGCTCAAAAGGGAAAATACCCGATCGGGTATTTTTGGTTCACGACCGGGGGGCCTTCTCAGTTCTTATCAAAATACCCTATCATATTCTCAAAATACCCTATCAGGTATTTTGACCCTACTGACCGGGTATTTTCAATTTCGGGTCCCCTTTCTTTGATTCTTCGTTTCTCCCTCGTTCGGACTCCAAATCAAGTGTCGTTTGATTCCAGACGCTTGTAGTCTCATCTTATTTCTTTTTATGACAAGCTTACATGATTATGTGGTCACAAAATGACGTAGAAATCCATTCTTCTTCAAATCATGCTCGAGTTTCTTCCCTTGAGTTGCCAATTGATCTCCGATTGACTTGAAACTTGCGCCTATGCTTCACTTTATGTGCTAGGACCTGAAAAGTGACAAAGGAACACAATTTAGTTTAAAATAGGCCAAATAAGTGATAATGAAATCTTAAATGATCAGGAAACAAACGGAAAAACATGTGCATATCGAGTCATCGAATCCCCCACACTTAACCGTTTGCTTGTCCCCAAGCAAACCTGACACAAACCAATGCAACTCTCCAGACCTGTACAGTAACACGCAACCCCGATCGTCGGTAGAGGACTTCCTAGATCATTTAGCAACTTACAAGGTCAACCGGTCTTCTAAGACGTTACTTATCTCTCTCAATGCGAGTACTAGACTCAAACCCGGTTTCGTGAAACCCGGTCCAAATACCCGATCGGGTATTTAGAGAACCGGTCGGGTATCAACAAAATGCTCCGGGTCACTTTTCTGCTCAAAAGGGAAAATACCCGATCGAGTATTTTTGGTTCACGACCGGGGGGCCTTCTCAGTTCTTATCAAAATACCCTATCATATTCTCAAAATACCCTATCAGGTATTTTGACCCTACTGACCGGGTATTTTCAATTTCGGGTCCCCTTTCTTTGATTCTTCGTTTCTCCCTCGTTCGGACTCCAAATCAAGTGTCGTTTGATTCCAGACGCTTGTAGTCTCATCTTATTTCTTTTCATGACAAGCTTACATGATTATGTGGTCACAAAATGACGTAGAAATCCATTCTTCTTCAAATCATGCTCGAGTTTCTTCCCTTGAGTTGCCAATTGATCTCCGATTGACTTGAAACTTGCGCCTATGCTTCACTTTATGTGCTAGGACCTGAAAAGTGACAAAGGAACACAATTTAGTTTAAAATAGGCCAAATAAGTGATAATGAAATCTTAAATGATCAGGAAACAAACGGAAAAACATGTGCATATCGAGTCATCGAATCCCCCCACACTTAACCGTTTGCTTGTCCCCAAGCAAACCTGACACAAACCAATGCAACTCTCCAGACCTGTACAGTAACACGCAACCCCGATCGTCGGTAGAGGACTTCCTAGATCATTTAGCAACTTACAAGGTCAACCGGTCTTCTAAGACGTTACTTATCTCTCTCAATGCGAGTACTAGACTCAAACCAGGATCAGGCGAAGTAGTGGACCTAGGACAGACAATTCATGGATAAAGAGACTCACACAACACACACAAACTTGGACTCTTGTATCGGGTGCTCTTCTCATTTCATTTCATTTGTTGGAACCTCTTTTCGCAAATTTTTTTCTTTTTCTTTTTCTTTCATTTCATTTACTGTTGGGGTTCCAACTGCAATTATGCATGGTCGACCCTTATGGCTGAGCAAGAGCAATTTATGTACATCTGTCGCTCGCCAGAGTATTTCTTTTAACTCCTTTTCCTTAATTCGTGTGGAGGGTCAATGAAATTAAGGGGGGTCGGAAGCTCTATCTTTGCCCTTAAAAACACATCCTCGAGTAGACAAACCATTCAACGGATGGAAATTTTACTTGTACTAGAGACAACTTAGCTTCACCTTGTAGGAGTACCCCACTAAGGATCACTAAAATCTCTTCCAAAACCCGATTTTATGCAATGAACGGTGCCACACACGTTGGGCTTACCCCATATTTAAGATGTCATATTATTTCCATGGGGGACCAACTGCATTTCATTAAGTACACTGAGCACCCTCTCACAATACAAAGTCCAACCACAACGGGAGTCATCCATATCACATGAATCAAATGTCCTAAAGCCACTATTTCACACAATCCACTGGCACATCAATGAGACAGATAGGAAATATCTTATACTTCAGCATCCTCCATAGTGCTACAACTACCTCCCTAGGCTGCATAGTACTATAAAGGCTGTCAATTCAAAGCATATTGAGCAGGAAATTGCAGGGAACACGTACTTGGAGCCCTCAAATGTAAAAATTTGGGCAGTGGACTAGGATCCAAACACACACATACAACAAAACATTCACACGCATATATAATTGAACATCCCCCCCACACTTAAGCATGACATTGTCCTCAATAGAGGAAAGATAAGGAGGGTAGAACGAAGTTACCAGATCATGTGTGAATGATGGTGGACAGGGAAGGCGGTGCATTTCAGGAGGAGAGAGTATTCAAAACATAAACACCACATAAAATCTCACAAAGGTTGAGTTATTGACTCTAAAATCAAAGAACAAAATTGACTCAACCGAAGTGAAATAGGGAAAGAAATGCAAACCGACTGGTTGTGTTGCCTACCAACAAGCGCTTCTTTCACGTCATGAGCCAGATGGTGGCTCCTAACCTTCGGTCCACCCCCAAAACCTCTTTGAAGTTGAGGTTCTCGTCAATGATGTAGAGTCTCAAGTCACGAGCATGTGGTATGACAGGTGACGAAGGATCGTGCACTTGATGCAGATGAAGTCTCCACCCTCGAGACCTCTTCTTCTCTTATCTCATCTCATTGCCCCAAACTAGATATGACAACATCGATTGACCACCGTCGCATCCACCAAGAGAGACCGAGGTCGATGTGGCCTTGGTCTGGCAAAGAGACACTGCAAACGGGTCATTGCCAAGTAGTTGCTCGAAGTTTGGTGGATATATTACTTGTAACATAGGTTCGGTGCAAGCCTCTTCCAACTCAACTTCGTCCCGAGCCTGGACGCCAATTGCTTGTTCACCCCCCCCCCCTCCTTCTTCAAAATGTGGTATCACCCCTGGGAAAATATCAAGAAGAACTCCTGTCTCCTTATGCTTCACTTTTTTCATCCTCCAAAACTTCTTTCCGCACCCTTTCACGCTCTTCTTCTTCTTCCAGCACGGATTGGAGAGCAAGTTGCCAAGAACTTTCTTCGATGAGATCATCTTGCATCTCCTTACTCATGCCCGCCTCTTCAAATCTTGGTGTGGGATGTGGGAAGGTATGGTCGGCTACAACAGAACATTCTT